CCATCCCAATGACAGTGGCGTTACTTCATACAACATCAAATTCTCCATCAACTTCGACATATTACCACTCCGTTTGGCTGCCAGCACCGCTGCACCGTACGCCACTGCCTCGTCTGGGTTGATGGACCTTTGTAAGTCCCTACCATTGAAGAATTCCTGCAACATGCTCTGCACCTTCGGAATGCGCGTCGATCCACCCACCAGCAATATCTCGTGGATGTCAGCCTTGTCCAACTTCGCATCACTCAATGTTGTCTTCACCTTATCCATCGTCTGACTGAAGAGGTCCATGCACAACTGCTCAAACTCGGCTCGTGTGAGGGTCTTGCAGAAATCGACCTCATCAAACAACGATTCTACCACTACCTTTGTGGACGCGGCCGAGCTCAACATCCTCTTTGCCGTCTCACACGCCTTTCTCAGACGGTGGATTGCTCTCTTGTTAGTGGTCAAGTCCTTACCCTTGTGCTCTTGCTTGATCATTTCCACAAAGTGATCCACTAGTCGAGAATTGATGTCCTCACCTCCCAGGTGTGTGTCACCACCAACCGCCTTCACCTCAAATTCTCTGTTCTTTATAGACAGGATGGACACGTCGAAAGTGCCACCTCCCCAATCAAAGATGAGCACATTGCGTTGCCTGTCGCTCGTCCTGTCCATGCCGTAAGCTATGGCAGCCGCTGTTGGCTCATTGAGGAGACGCAGAACATTTAAACCGGCGATTTTTGCTGCGTCTATTGTGGCATTTCGTTGGCTGTCGTTGAAGTACGCTGGCACAGTGACCACTGCATCTGTGACCTCCTCGCCCAAGTACGCCTCCGCCGTCTCCTTCATCTTCGACAACACCATGGCCGAGATCTGCTCTGCGACAAATTGCTTTGTCTTACCACAATGCTGCACTTCAATTTTTGGCTTCCCTTCCGAATTGATAACTTTGAAGGGCCAGTGCTTCATATCACTCTGCACCACCTTATCGTCAAAACGGCGCCCCATCAGTCGCTTCACATCGAACACTGTATTGGCAAGGTTCATAGCGGCCTGGTTGATTGCAGCCTCACCGATGAGGCGTTCCTCA